TATTTTTTTAAATGTGTGTAATAACTACACTTTTTTTAAAATACAAATAATTTACAAAAGTGACTTTCTTATGCCCACTATACCATTCTTTACATGTGTAAATCAATATATTTTTTTCTACAAAATGAGCATTTCATATATGTATTATAACATACCATAGAATACTTTAATATACAATAGAATAGCACTTCCGTTGACGTAATTACGACCACACATACAAGCAATTACAAAAATTAATATAGTATGTAATTGATATAATAATTGTAATGATGATCTTTGTAAGACAACCCCACACCAAATAAATACATCAAATTTGTAGTTTCAAGAAAAACGTTTTTGCAACTTTCACAGAACTTCATAATGTGTTGAGGAGATTATAACAAAAATAAATAAAAACATTTGACCAATGATTCCCCCTAAATGGGATATTTCAAGTCATTAAATTGTTAATAAATATCAAATTAAAATTTCCAACATGACATAAACATAAAAAGTAAGGACCCTTATCATAAATTTGTTGATCAAGTTAATTGTACATAGTTCAGACCCTCAAAGATTGCATAAGAGATGGTGCAATAAAATATTAAAAGGCAGACATATTAAAATCAATAATGACAAAATAACACTTAACTACTAACTTAAACAATGAATTTGGTTTTACACAATTTTTATAGATCCTGTATGTTTTCTTACAGGAACCTCCATTAAAAGAATCAAACAATTGATCAAACAGGAGTAGTATATCTGCCGTATCTTCACATTCTTGTGGCAGCAACTTATTTTCTGCAAAGAAATAAAATGTTATGAGCACTTTTTAAATAATAAGAAGCAATAAAATGTTTGACACAAGAGGAAATACAAGTAAATACTAAATATGCGATAAAAAGATATCTTACAAAAAATAATTTCAATATTGAATGTTATTTAACAAAGTATATATACGTACACTTGCACAAAATTGTAAAGCTTCAATTTTTTTCTGCTGCTGTTACTTGACTTTTTTGTCTTATATTTTGTTTTTTGAAATCATTATTTTGTTTAACATTTTCTTTATGTTTTATCTGTACATTTTCTTTTAATCAATGTATCTGAAAAAAGTATGCCAAACAGATAATCATATAGAGATCAGATGAAATAATGACAGCGTAGACCTGATTGTATTGGAATCTCTTTTTTAAAGAATTTTAATTCTAACTTCTGCATTGTAATGATATTATACATATTATGCAATATATTATTAGAATGCTTTTGGAGCTGGCACAGCGCTGCTGTGTGCACAGTGCAAAAAAGTAGCATTCCTACTGCATGGCTTGCGGACCAGTGATAACAAAAATTTGAAGTTATATCTGCAAGAGTTTTGAGTCTGGAGTGCTTCCTCTCAAAGTTCTAGTTATTTCAGATGCAACAAAAGCAAGGTGCAACCACGACTAACCCGTTCCTAGGTTTGGATACAGGAATAATTTCGGTCAACTGCCTACCCCACATGTTATTTACCTAGGAGCCAGGTTTAGATATAAAGCCTTTTGACTTGTTTCAGCTATAAAAAGATTCTCAGGATATTAAATCTCAATGTTGTACTTGTTATTATTATAGTAAATTCCAGCCTTAAAAATTGACTGCCTCGTTGGTGGAAAAAAATTAATTATTGGGTTTTTCCATCAAGAAATTCTCAATAGCTGCCCGGAGTCAGAAAATTGACGGTATATCACCCCCCGTGCTTCGGAAGGTACGTAAAGCCGTTGGTCCTGCGCCTGATATCTCTCCGGTCGTGTCGGTTTACGTCCGATCGGAATATGAGAGTGATGGAGTAGATAGTGCACCTGTGCTTGCGCATACATTTGGGCACTATAATCCTGTCCCACGCCGATGGCTAGTCTCCGTTGAGGCTGGCCGCAGTGACCGAAATTCAGTCTGGAGGACATTATCATTATTAAATTCCAGTCACTAAATCTTTAACTAATCGCACACTTGCTGGTATAGTAATAGAATATAGTTACAATAATTAAGAGTTTATCAATATTATACTACCACCAGAGAATTTTCTGGACCAATACAATTTGCGACTTTCAAAAAATGAGCCTACTCTTTTTTTAAAGCTGGCAATGCGTATGCCCCTAGTGTTGTGGTCCTACATGGGTGGCGATAGTCACTATCCATCAGGTGAGCCGCATGCTCGTTTCCACGCCGCCTCTTCTTTTAAAAAAATAAATTAAATACCTCTTATACGATTATCGTGTGATCTTGTAGTAGAAATTTGTGAAGAAAGTACATCCGGTATAAGTGATGTGGGTTCAATTCCTAATGTTTCAGCATCTAAACCTGTAATAGTAGTGAAAGTATATGAGTAACACATAAAACTCTCTTGGGCTTGTTTTGTTCACTGCTACATACCATATATCATAATTACTAGCTTATTACCCGCGGCTTCGCTCGCGTGGGGTTTAATTAAGCAACATTGATAAATGTTGTTTCCTTCTAAATTTAGCAAAATTCAATCACTATTAGAGTCACCTCGCTGTGTGTCTTTCTTTATGTCTGTTTGTCAAAGATTTGGTTTTGAATTCTCAAAGACTATTGAACATAGATGATTGATATTTGGCATAGATATAATATGTTATAGGAACATGTGAATGAAGTTTTTCGTAATTGCATTAATATCTTATGTCTATAATCACCTGCTATTTTTTATATCAGGTGTATCTTCTGATGTATCCATAAAAAAGGTATCAATAACCAAATTGTCTTAAAATCAATTTTTTATTAACCTTTTTAAATTTGGAAAAAATTGTGTTAATATGTACATTCTTTCATCATTAAAATTAGTTTTAACAAAACAATGATGAATTTAAATCCCCCCCCCCTCGGCTTCAATGCCTTTTACTTAGTCCCTTGGACTTGTTTTTTCAAAAATATATTAGAATTACAGACACAACTTTTCTACAGATTTAATAATAATAATAATGTCCCCCAGACCAAATTTTATAGTGCTCAAGTGTATGTGCAAGCACAGGTCATCTCATAATCCAATGGGATGGTATTTCGTCACAACCGGAGAGTGAGAAAACAGGACTAACGGCTTTACGTGCTTTCCAAGGCAAGAGGGGTGAAACGCAGCTAATTTCTTATCTCCAGACTGCTGCTGAGAATTTCTTGATAGAAATACCCAAAAACAGATTTTGGCCCAACCCAGGATCTCATGGTCAACAATTGCATTTACGACACTAGACCAATGAGGCATTCAAGTGTTATTATAATATTAAGGAATAAATTAATGTATTTTCATTGTAATCATTCACATCACAAAATAAAAAATAAAAAGTACCGGCCAAGTGCGTGGCGGGCCACACCTTAAACCATTAAACCCAATGGACTCGCCCCGCATGGTTATTTCCCTCTGCCAAGGTAATGGTTTTAAAAACTTTCTGCATTTATAAAAACTGTTTACAGAATCTATTTTATTATTACAAGAATCATTACCACTAAGTAGGCACTCTTTGCCGATCTGTGCAATTAAGGTGTGTAATAAAGCAGTCAAATACTTAAAATTTACAAAAAGATGAAGTTACACTCTATATGTAGATATTTTTTATTGTGATACATGCTTTTTTTTCTATTAAAATCATTCAAAATAATGTTATAAGTAATAATCGAAAACTTTACCAATTAGGTAATCTGTTACTACCCTAAATTATACTGTGGGTCACCCGCATAAACCAAGAGTATTACAAATGAAACTGTGTGAGGCTATTTCATTATATGAGTACTTTGAAAGGGACAACAATAACTACCAACTAAAAAATAAGTGAAAGTAGTAAGTAAGTAAGATTTCTTCATAAAATGTTTATTTCTTACAGTTCACAATAGCATTACAAAGTTATAATGTTGTTTTATGTCATTTTCTATGGAGTTGTAACAAAATTTTTACTAATCCAACTTGTTAATTCTAATTTGCTGCGATAGTTTTCCTTTTAATTACATTATATATGCTACCATTGAGTATACTTTCCACATTTCCAAAAAAGAGTTGGTAGAGGGGACACATGACATGACTCTAATGAAAAATACGACTAAAGCTTAATATTTAACAAAGAAACCGATAAAAGTGAATAAGCTTTTATTGCTAAGCCAGTGTGTGAATTGTAAACCTTACCCTGCGTTATAATCTAGGGCTTACTGCTAAAAGAATTGCTATTAAACATGACAGTGAGAAAGCTTTTAATAGACTTACCAAGGTTCAAGACTGGGGTCTGGGAAGTCTTGGTTCGAGGATATAAAAAACGATCCTCAAAGATCCGATCACAAATACGGTAGTTATTGTAAATTTCACAATCGGTTTTATCCTTTCTGAATACACACACAGCACAGTATATAAATGCACTAGAAATCGGAATAATATTAAATTGATTTCTATTTAAGCTTTACTATTAGTGAATAGCGACCGCCATTATTGATTATTGTTTATTGCGTATGTACGTAGCACATGGATTGTTTCCTTTGCATAGACTTAATACATAAGTGTGCCCTCTAGTTCGATAAAAGTAAGTCTTAGTTTACATGCCCCACACGAAAGATGGCAGCACAAAAAGATATCAATTTGTTCTCAAAATAATGTTCTAAGTTGCATGCCCATGTTTCGGCTCAAATCGCAGTCGCAGCACAGCCGTCGAAGAGGCTACAACAACAAGGAAAAAGGAAGCCGAAACCTAAGGAACAAGAAGCTACCTAAGAAAAAAGTGTTTTAATTGCCTCCTCCCGGCTGATCGTCTATCTCTCTCTCTCTCTCTCTGAGGTCCCAGTGGGGTCGTATTATACATACGCATTCAGGGGTGCGTGGGACATGCGTCACCAGCACTAAGCAAGGAACGTACGTCATCAAGTGGGAGATTGTCCCAGGGCGACTGCGGGCACTGGACGTGTTCCTGCCGTCCGAAACAGTTGGTCTTTTGAAATCCGGATCCCTGCTAGAAGTATATAAAAGTTTATAGAAGAAGCCGTTCAAGATGCCGGTTACCAGGTCACAGAAGGATGCCCCCTCACGTCCCGGGTCCCGTCCCTCAGATAAGGACGCGACAGGTGAAATGTCGGGATCAGAAGGGGTCACGTCTGCGTCAGCGTCAGCATCATCAGGAACAGCAACTACGTCAGATTCTTCAGGCACTACGACCACAGATGATACCACCATGACAGAGACCGCGGTTGCAACTGCCACACGGCGGCGTCCGAAGATAACGGACAGAAGGATGAAGCCGCACAGAAGGAGACGACCAAGAAGACTTCAGAGGATATTCCAGACAAGGGCGTTCATGGCTCTGCCACAACCCTTAAGGCAAAGGGGGTCAGTCGTCGCGCCAGGTCCATGAAGACCACGAACTCCTCAGCCAGGAGATGGGAGCTGGAAGCCAGAGAAGAATTAGCACGCATGGAGATGAAGCGAGCTCAAGCTGCGGCGAAGCTAGCACGCGTCAGATTAGAGCTGGAAAGTGAAGAAGAGGACTCCGTGGATGGAGCAAGAAGACAGAACAGCATAGGTGCAGAACTGGATCGAAACATCAGTAATGGAAGAAAACAACATGGGAAAACACAAGAAACGAGATCAGCACCCTCCGAAAGAGCCAAATGTGAAGCCTGAATAGAACTCCTCAACGAAAAAAGATACGAGCGAAATTCAAGTGCTGACGATAGCATTGAAGGAAGCCCTTACCAGGAGAGGAGGACCAGTAGCTCAGCCAAAGTATATCCACGAGCTACCCTACTTCGATGGCAACAGCAGCGAGTGGTTGCCCTTCATGGTGGTCTACGAAGATACCGCCCCAATGTTCAATGCAGTCCAAAACGTGGCTCGACTAAGAAGAGCACTAAAAGGCAACGCAAGAGAAGCTATCAAGAGCCTGCTGTACTCTGAAGCCTCTCCATTGGAAGTAATGCAGGCCCTCAGGAGACGATATGGAAGACCTGATGCGCTGGTGCTAGGTAAATTGGACAAAGTCAGGGCGTTACCAAAGATTTCCGAAAATCCAAGACATATATGCGTCTTTGCGAGCCAAATCAACAACAGCGTAGCAGCAATAAAAGGTTTGTAGAAACCGCAGTACCTGCATTCACTTGAAATGGTAAAGCAAATTATATAAAAAATGCCTACAATCCTGAAGTTCCGATGGTATGACTTCACAGCAGAAACATTAGAGGGCGAGTTCTCTGACCTGACGATGGTCTCCAAGTTCCTGAACAGCGAAGCAGACAAATGTGGAGCCTTCGCGACCTCAGAAAAGCGGGTTCAGAAGAACTCATCGACAAGCGTCGCATTCTACGAGGGAAAAGAGCTTTAAAGAAAAAGATACAAGACAGTCAACAGAAAAGACTTGTCCTGTGTGCCAAGGTGGACACTTCCTCTTCGAATGCCAGAAGTTCCAGAAGACGCCAGTGCAAGATCGATGGGCAACAGTAAAGAAAAGTCACGTTTGCTTCAAATGTCTTCAAGGTAAACATCGAAAGGAGAGCTGCAAGGAACAATCATAACCATAAGGAATGCAAGAGGTGGCATCATCATTTGCTGCACGTTGAATCAGAAAACAGGACCTTGAGAGAGAAGAAGGCGGAAACACAAGAAGAAGTAACAAGCGTCATGACATCAGTGAATGCAGTCAACAACTCAACGTGAAGATAGTTCCAGTAGAAGTCTTCGGGCCAAAAGGATCCAAAAAAATATTGGCCCTCATGGATGAAAGGTCGACAGTGTCGCTTATTGATGCAAAGGTGGCAGAAGAAGTCGGCGCTGAAGGCAACAAAGAGGAGGTGGTCATCGAGACAGTAGGAGGCAGGCAAATCAAGAAGAAGGATTCTCAAAAGCTGGACCTTGTAGTGAAGGGGGTTCATCAAGGAAGCAAGTAGTTCTTGAAGATTGTCCGAACTATCAACGAGCTGAAGCTTGCACCACAGTTCCTATAGAAGAAAAGGATAGAAGAATGCCAAAATTTGAAGAAGATCGCCGAATCTCTTTATTATAAAGGGGAATCACCACAGCTGCTCATCGGTCAAGACAACTGGGAGCTGATAGTGACTCAAGAAGTAAGGAAAGGGAAACCAGGAGAACCAGTTGCTTCAAGAACAGGGCTTGGATGGGTGCTCCACGGATCAGACACCGGGGCTATATAGTAGTACACTTCATGAACACGTGTCTACATGTTAGCACACCAGATAAGGAGATGCATCAAGCCATCATGGATAACTTTGCAATCGAGGCGCTTGGTGTGCAACCACGAAGACCCACCACAGACTCAGAAGGAAGAGCACTCGCCATCCTAGAGAAAACCTGCAGAACACTTGAAGATGGGCCATTCGAAGTTGGACTCTTATGGAAAAACGAAGATGAACAGATGCCTGAGAGCTACTCGTCTGCAAAGAACCGGTTGTTCAATATTGAAAAGATGGATGAGGACCCTCAGCTGAAGGCAGAATATATCAAGCAGATCCAGCATCTTATTGACAGCAAGTATGCAGAAGAAGCACATATGACACAAAAGGACTCCAGGAAGAAATGGTACCTCCCTCACTTCTCCGTAGTACATCCACTGAAGAAAAAGATAAGGACCGTCTTCGACGCTGCAGCCAAGTCAAATGGAAGAAGCCTCAACAATGCTCTACTGCCAGGACCAGATCTACTACAGTCACTCTTCGGGATACTACTAAGGTTTCGACAGGGCCCGCTAGCTGTGGCAGCCGATATCAAAGAAATGTTTCTTCAAGTTCGCATTCGACCAGAAGACAGAGATAGCCTGAGGTTTTTGTGGCGCGGGGCTCGTCGCGACGTGCCTCCAAAGGAGTACAGGATGATATCGGTTATCTTCGGCACAGCATCATCTCCGAGCAACGCAATCTATGTGAAGAACCGAAACGCAGCGGACTTCAAAGAGCAGTATCCAGAGGCAGCAAGGGCGGTCGAGCTAAACCATTACATGGACGATTACCTGCACAGCTTCCCCTCAGAAGAAGACTTTAGAAAAGTGACGACGCAGGTGGACTTCATACACAAGAAGGCAGGCTTCGAACTCAGGGGATGGGCGTCAAATCAACCCGAGCTGCTGCAAGACGTGAAGATCGACTCTATTGAGAAGACAGAAGTGGACCTAGGTGAGAAGGAAGAGAAGACATTAGGACTGCACTGGTTCACCAAAAGGGACTCCATCGGCTTCAGGGCAAAACTCCGAAATACACCAGAAGAAATAGCAAGAGGACTCAAGGTGCCTACGAAGAGGGAAGTTGCCAGCGCAGTAATGTCGACCTTTGATCCGCTTGGTTTAGTATCACCAAGCGAATGGCGAAGTGGCGTCGGTTGAAATGACAAAATAAAAGAAAGGGATTACGAAGCATGGAAAACCTACCTGGAGAAGATGAAGCTGCTCCAAGGCCTGCAAGTTCCGAGATGCCTAGCGCTACATTGCACCGAGGGGGAGCTACACACTTTCGTTGATGCAAGCGAGCTGGCATACGCAGCGGCAGTTTATTGGAGGACAGAAGGGCAAGATGGAACTTACCACGTCAGCTTAGTGGCAGCAAAGGCGAGAGTCACTGCACTGAAGCCAGTGTTCATCCCGAGACTCGAACTACAGGCAGCCCTCCTAGGAAGCAGACTGGCTCATTCAGCTGAAGAAGAATTGGATCTAAAAGTAACAAAGAAAACATTTTGGACAGACTCCAGCATCGTACTTTCCTGGATAAAAACAGACCCGAGAACCTTCAAGACGTTCGTGGCTCATCGCTTAGCGGAGATAGAGGACCTCACCAAACCGCAAGATTGGAGATGGGTGCCTACAGCGCCGAATCTTGCAGATGACGCAACACGCGACGTGCCAGAAGACTTCAACTGCACCCACCGATGGTACACCGGACCAAGCTTCCTGAAAAAAGAAGAGGCACATAGGCCGACACCAAGAACTTTCAAGAAAACAACCACCGACGAAGAAAGGGCAGCGGACGTCGCAGCAACAACACAAACATCTCATCCATCACCAGACCCGGAGAGATTCTCTTCATGGAAGAGGCTTTGGCGCGCCACAGCGAGGGTACCGCAGCTCTTACAACTCTGCAGAAAAAGGGAGAAGGTCATCGTCTGCAAAAATGATCCCACCTGGAAAATGACACAAAGAAAAGGAACGAAGACCGTAGAAAAGCAACACAGATCTTCAAAAATAACAGAAAGGAAATATATACCGATGGACACCGAACTACTCGAGAAAGCTGCAACTCTTTTGCTGAAAAGAAGCCAAGACAACAGTTTCAGAGAAGACATCAAGCGCCTTCAGCAAGGGAAGCAATTAGAGGGCAGCAATAAATTGAAAAGACTTGACGTAGTACTAGAAGAGGGACTCCTGCGGCGAAAAGGAAGAATCGACGTGATACAGGGTGTGACCAGCGACTACAAACGACCCATCGTGATCGAAAGCAAGGACAAGACAACACAACTCATCATAGAAGAATTCCACTGCCGCTTCAATCATGGAAAACACGCGACGGTGATGAATGAAATACGACAACGCTTCTGGATACTCGGTCTAAGGTCAGCAATCAAGGCGGTTCAGCATCAATGTCAGTGGTGCAAAACAAGGAAAACAAGAGCTCAAGAAATAGCAACAGGCAACTTACGGTTATAAAATTAAAAGGTTAGCTTTTAATAATAATTTTGTAAGGAAGTTTTTAAGCAAGAATTTGTATTGTAAATACTTATAAAAAATTTAAGTTTTGTTTAACGCTTGCAAACTGGTGTAAGATTAAAGGTTTATATGTAACATAATGTAAACAAAAAGAAATAAGTAGATCAGATATCTGTTTCAATAAATATAAGACAAAATATAAGTAAATTAACAATTTTGTAGGGTTTTTTGCTCTAGAAGTTTTGTATAAAGAACTTAATAGTTTATATTGTTACGAGTATTTTATATTATAGAACATTACTAGAGCAATCTAACAATGTATAATTTGTAAGGGTTATGTGAAAGTTTTAATAAATAAAGGCTCCTAAGGTTTCGGCTCGAAATAAAAACAACACGCGAGACAGGAAAAACCGCGCTAACGTCCATACGGTAACGCCGCAGCACAGCCGTCGAAGAGGCTACAACAACAAGGAAAGAGTCTCGTCCGGACCGCGCCAACGAGCGGTCATGTCCGCCGGTCGTCCAGCGCGTCGCTTCGCAGTGGGTGCGCGCTCTGTGGGGCCAACTCGGCTTGCGTCGAGCCTTGAGGACGCCCCTGACCCCACCCGGGATGAAGACCACCCAACGCTACGCATCACCTACACGCTGGGAAGCGAACTCCGAAGCCCGGCGCGCCCAAGTGCGCGCGCCTGTTGGTGACTTCGGCTCCGCGTCGAGGTGCTCTCCGCGGGACCTTGAGGTTGCTGACCCTTCGGCAGATTCCCTTCCCAGAGGCACGAGACACGACAACCTTTTGCCTAGGAATACCAGGCCTTCAACTAGAGCCAGGAAGGAGCACTGGAGGTCCGGAGCAGCTGGAACGCCCTCCTGTCGGCAAGATTGGCCCTGCGTCGACTCCTACCCTCGGGACTCCGCGGGGCTTCGAGACGGCTGACCCTCCGGTAGCACTGACCTGGTGGCGCGCAATACGCCAACCAAGATTGCCAACAATGCCATACTGGTACGGCGCCCAAGACCGGCTCATTGTTATGAGCCGTGAGGAATACCCGGGTAATGGGGGACTCCCCGAGGCCAGATACCTGCATGGGATAAACAAAAGTAGTCCCATAGCAGACGACAATCAACGCAACAAGGAAAAAGGAAGCCGAAACCTAAGGAACAAGAAGCTACCTAAGAAAAGTGTTTTAATTGCCTCCTCCCGGCTGATCGTCTATCTCTCTCTCTCTCTCTCTCTCGGTCCCAGTGGGGTCGTGTTATACATACGCATTCAGGGGTGCGTGGGACGTGCGTCACCAGCACTAAGCAAGGAACGTACGTCATCAAGTGGGAGATTGTCCCACGGCGACTGCGGGCACCGGACGTGTCCCTGCCGTCCGAAACAACAGAAGTTTTATCGACAGAACTTAGAACTTTTTGAGAAAGTTTGAGCGTTAACTTCTAAAAAGAACCCTTATGTCGTATCTCCTCAGTTTCAAGGTACTCCCCTTGTTGCCTCAGCCAGTATCGGAATCCTCGGTGTCGACATATCGAGTGACATATAGTTTCGTGGTCACTCGGAAGGGAAGGCCAAATTGGCTTCTAAAATGCTTGGCGTGCTCAGCAGAGCGGGACAGTATTTCATGCCGGCACACCGCCTACAACTTTAGAAGGTGCCGGTTCGACCGCACATGGAATACTGTTCCCATCTCTGGGCTGGAGCTCCCCAGTACCAGCTCCTTCCACTTGATAGGGAGAGCTGATCGTCGACGACCGAGTGCTTTCCGATCGGCTCGATTCACTGGCGCTGTGAGGAGATGTTTCATCTCTTTGCATTTTCTTTCGCATATACCATGGGGAGTGCTCTGAGGAATTGTTCGGATTAATCCCAGCCGGCAAATTTCATGAACACACTACGCGGCAAACGTCCAGATACCATCCACACCATCTGGTTGCTTGGCGGTCCACCACTGTACGTTTCAAAAGGAGTTGTCTTCCGCGTACAACCTCCCTGTGGAATAGTTTTCCACTGGCGATTTTTCCGGACCGATACGACCTGGGGACCTTCAAGAAAAGAGCTTACTCCTTTTTAAAGGACCGGCAACGCACCTGCAATTCCCCTGGTGTTGCTGTTGATCATGGGCGGCGGTAGTCACTTGACATCAGGTGAGCCGCATGCTCGTTTGCCCCCTCTTCTATAAAAAAAAACACGAGAAGGGCAGCAATATCTTTCTACAAATATATAGTCAAATAGAAAATAAAATTACTGCGGTTGCCAACCCACTTGACAAGCGTGGAATCAATGGCAAAAGTCCCCTCTATGAGGCAATCTATGAGGAGGATAGGCTGTCGCGATAAATTAAAATGATGAAAAATTTAAACATTAACAGGTATATATATATATATATATATATATATAAATACCGCTAAAATATTTTTGTAGTTCAAGGTTCTACTTTATTTCTTTCATGGCTCGTAAGCTGAAAACAGCAAAGTCATTACACAAGGCACGCAACCATTATTTCGTCTCAAGAGATATTCGATGGTTTAGCTGTTCCAAATTGAATCAAATTTTGGAAAAGCTAAACCATCAACTAGCATCAATAACATCATCTAGCATCAACTTCTTATCTGGATCAAATTAACTTTTTACTGTTTATCTAATGTCGTGTAAGGGTTAATCTAAGATTCATCTCTTCTGTAATAATGTCGTATACACATAAGCGTGCTTCAGAATTAAATTTTACGTCATTCTGTGCGAGCCTGCCTCTGAAGAATGTTGAGGTTGTGTGGCACCTAACTATTCAGGCGAAGGTTTAAATATTTCGGACGATTTTCGATTCAATTTGTAATATGTGCTAAATCTTTTCATACACAGTTAGCCTATTCTCTTAAATTAAAGTCTGTCCAATTTCGTCAATGGGACCACTTTTTTTCTCTATCTATAAGTTTATCAAAGGAAATTGAAAATCATACAAAATTTACCCGTAAAATTGACTACGACGCATACCCATTCTATAATTACAGTATATAATTGTAAATTATCAAAACTTCAAAATTAATTAAACTGGCCAATGTCTCATATAAAAAAAAACTTGTTCTCATAATTTTCTGCATGGGCCGTCGTATATTAATTATTCCTCCATCAGTTAAGTCGCTTAGAAGCTGAACATGATCACTAAAACACACATCGACTATATTGTGAATAAACATATTACCGCTTCTATTACAAATAAATCTGTTGTGAATAAATCTATTGCCATCTCTACCTTACGCGACCAATGGAAAATAGCTGTGGTAAAGCCTATCCCAATGAAAAAACAAGCTACCTGTTTAAAATGTCGATATCCTATAAGCTTTTTTATGGTATTGTGTGATAAACGAGCACCAGTTCACCTGATGGTAAATGGATGTTGTGGCGCATAGACTTTCACCACACTATCCACATTTATCCTCAATTAAGAATCAAAATGTAGATGTAGTAGTCTGAGGACTAAGTTGGAATATCTTGATTCCGCTAAATAGGTTTTCCAGTTATCTACACTCAATATACGAAATAAAGCAGCATTAGGCTGTTATTTTACGCTGGTATTCTGTGAAAGTGTGATCCTGCTCGTTCGAGCCGACCTATTAGTGCTACAACTATAATATAGCTGCAGCTATATTATATTTGAAGCACGAGTTGTAGCAGCTCATAAAACAGGTGCAAAATACGTATACTCGGTTTTGTTTTACTGTCCTGCCTCGAAGTCTTGTTACGCCTTGTCGCTCGGAGAAAATCGCACCTTACTTCTCTATTATTCTCAACAATAACAAGGTAGAGACCACCATATCTGTTCCAAAAGTTGAAGTAGGCCCAACACTAAGATAAATATGATACAAGTGCTGCTGCCCATTCGCTTGCAACAACTCGACATCGCACTGATGTATTTCGAGGCTGTTTCAAAGTACATCAATCGTTTTTGGATCCACTAGAAATTTTAAAGTTCCTGAATGGCATTACATGAAAAAAGATACCAATTTGTTATTATAAACAGCCTAAAGATTTTTAAACCTAAACGGAATCAAGAAATGTGAATAAAAAGAGTTGTTTAGATATTCAGTTCATTGGTGCTGGTAATGTAATATTAAATAAATTGTATTAGAGATTATCCAATTCGGAAGAAACTCGACTCGAGTTAACTCGTGTCTGTCGATCTATCTCAATCAATCATCAAAGTTACAAACTTTATTAAAATAAGTTTGTGTAAAAAGGGTGATTATAATATCAAAGAATTTATTGATATAATCCCTGGGAAGCTATTTCTAATTTATTTTGTGTTGTTGATTGTAACACATGATTGTAAGATATAATTTCTCTGTTCTTCACAGAACAGAGGTTTTTTTCCAAATTAGTAGTAAACTTAAAAAAATGTAATTTTTAATAGGTATTATTTTACTCTATAATAAATAAAAAGTGTCCGTTTCTGTTTCTATCATACCATTAATGCTACTATTTTAGAAATTATGATTTACAATAATAAATACATTATATTTTGTTTTTTGTAACACAACTAGTTTAAAACATCTTTCTTATCGTGTGTCCCTTAATCATCTTTGCTTTTATCATTTTATTTTAATGGTATTATGAATGTACACTCACAACCAATGAATACATGAAAAAGTACTCCGTGTAGGTTCGATGCATATATAGATTATAAGGAACAAATCGAAGTGCATTTCATTAAGAATATCTAAAATTTGTGATGGGTCCATTCTTCATACAAAAAGAAATTGTCTCCTTTGTTGGATTGATTTACCACCACGGGAACGAATTCCCTAAAACATTAAGTAGTTTTAAATACAAATTGAAGTTGTATTACTTGGAACAACAAGTAAAAATACCTAATAACTGTTTCGAACGTAAAATGGTAATAATATTTATATTTGTTCAATACTTTTTTTTATTTATGTTCGAATATTATTGATTATCAATGTGTTTTGGCTTTTTGATAAATGATTATTTATTAGTTTTAATCATTCTT